GGGGGGGGGGGGGGGGGGTCGGTGTCGAAGACTGCTGTCCACCGAAATCTAGTGGCAAAACGCACAAATATTCTCAGGAGCTCAACCAATCCAAACACAAGGGCAACCCCCTCCCGCCTCCCCGCTGTTATCCGTATGTAAGGAAGTAAACACAAGATGCCGAACACCCTTAGCAGGATGCAGCGCACCCTCCATGCAACTCGCCGAATATCTCACGGCGCTTCGCGCTAGGTGATGTGCAAGCCTGGTTTCGGTGAGAACCCGGCGTGCTTCGTCCCGGCTTTGAAGGGATGCTTGGTCAATGGTCTAACGACTACGGCATGCCCGGCTATGAGCACCCCCCCTCCCCCCGCCTGCTGTCTACAAACTGGCTGCATCGCTGGAGAAGTACACCGCCGGGTCGTACTGCCATGTCGACTTGCCTCCCGCGAAGGACAGGAGTTGACTCGGGTGGATGTACTTGGCGGTTTGACCTAGTGCCCTGTACGCGCGCAGTGGAGTCGGACAACAGCAGGTAGAGAGGATCAGGGCTGGGAAGCCGTTGTAGGCGATTGAGCTCTCTTACTTCGGTGTGACGTGTTCATAAAAAAAAAAAGGCCCTCGACCCTCCCCCTCTTGTACCGTGATAAGAGGATACCCAACTATACAACCGTTTTAACGACCCTGAAATATCGGAGCCCCGCTTGTAACGGAACAAGATGTATAATATATCGGGTCGAGCACGGGTCCAACCGGTTTCGACTTCCCTCATATACCGTAGCCCCCTCTTACAAGGTACTGTTGTTGTTTTCTTCACATTGAAAACCGTTCCGGTCTCCGCTCAGTACCTTCCAATGTCTGTACTGGTCCAACTGACTGTACCCTCTATATATCGGAGCCACGAACTGCATGCTCACGTGGAGGGTATGAGGTGCATCTTGGCCTTGGTTCTGGCCTGCAGCAGAGGCGAGACCACCTTCCAGCAGAGCATGACGCTGGGCCCCACGTTCGTGAACAGGACGTGCCCAAGGCGCATCGGGTAGTGGTGGCTCAGGAGCTTGAACATCTTCTTCATGTACGTCACCGGGGGGAGCTGCTTGAGGCCCATCCCTGCGAGGCGCGCGCGCGCGGGCGGCGCGACAGCACGGTGGCCAGGGGAATTGTCGGCTACTGGTGCTAGTGGAGCATGGAAGACAGACATATCCAAATCGGATTAGTATGAGTGCCGCATTGAACACCTCGAGGTGACGGAGCAGGATAGGCGGTATGGAAGAGTTCCAAATTCGGATCATTGGTGTCGCAATAGGACCCTAGGCAAGGAAAAAAGTTACACGTGCGCGATGCCGCCAGAGGGCGAGTCAGTCGTACAGGAACATGGTATTTCAACTTGCCACACATACCTTCACAGTCGATGACGATGGTATATTGCCAGCTGTTTCTTGGCATGAGGCGAATCGCCCTCTCCAGGTTGTAAATCATCAGCTTCGAGTTGCCGTCTCCCTCCATCCTTCCGTCAAGGGCTGGTCTAAAGTACACCACCGGTCGCCTACGACAACGAGCGGGCAGCAGAGCACCCGCCAAGCCAATCCGTCGCATGATCAGTAAGTGGTGCACACATAGACTAACCCGACGTCGATTCGGACGTGAAATCAAATGGTAACCAACACAGCCGCATGATACTGCTGCTCGTCATTGCGAGTAGGACCTCCGTGTGTGGGGGGGGGAGGGTACGTCAACAGCGCCATCCATGTTGTCCGAGCACAAAAAGGCGCCCGGAGGCGCGTCGCCGCTTTCCCTGACTTTTGGACCTTTTGCTCCCAAAAATAGCACCCAGGGGAATATAGGCGGTGGCTATTTCGGTAATGAACGAGTTCTTGCTCGGAATCTCGCGGCGAGCCCATACTCTTGCCGCGTACGTGCGCGTATATATGTCAAGTCACCTGCTGAGATCGTGGCCCTTCACAATGATGGCCCCACGGCATCCTTGGTCGACTACGTCCTCCTTTCGGAGGCGATCTGCCCCGATCTTTTCCCTCCAGGCGATGGACTCCTCGATGAAGTCGCTCACCCGCTTGCCATCGTGCTCCAACGCCCAAAACGCCGCCTCCAAAAACCTGTAAAACGGCGTACGTGTACGTGTTAAGACAAAACACAACAACAGGGTGTTGTTGTTTTCTTTGTTGTTTTCTTCGTTGTTGTTTGTTGTTGTTGTTGTTGTCTTGACCTTATGCAGTTGAAATTGGCGAACATATACACACCGAAAGCTTCCCGCGTACAGCAGTATCGGCCCTTTTCACACCAAAGGAACTTCGCCACAAGAGAGTCAGGCTGAGATTTTGTGGTCAAGTCATGCTTCAAACAAAAAGGAGGTGCGGCTTTCGCGGTAACAGCTTCACGATTAGACGAGTGGATATCGAGACACAGCAGACGCTATCGACACGAGGTGCTACGCCGCCACCTCTGCTGCGTTTGCTTCGAGTGTTTCCTTGGATGCCATGACCAAGAACAAGTCATTCCCCTGTTTCAAGACAAGCTGCAGCACACCGCACCCGCCGTATCACACGAGCGTGGTATCAAATCGTTTCTCGAGGCCCTACCATGAGCCTGCGCTCCCACAACCAAACCCTATACATCCAACACACCCGCTAGTGGCACGCCTTAGGGCTTGGGCTAGGGCAACTACCGTAACTCATGACCCCACCTTCCAAAAGCAACGGTATCTAGCTCGTGGTGGACCTTCTTGGCGCGTCTCTCCAGGCCCGGCTTCGCCGCAACCTCGTTCCTCAGCTCCTGCAGCACCCCTCGATACCTGACGGGGATTGGCCCTCCGTGCTGCCACGACCCCTACAAATATTAAAAAAAACAAAGAGAGAGAGAGAGCAGCCATCTTGGAATGAAAATAACGGGAGGTTGCGTCACAAACAGCAGTAACACGCTGAGTACTACCACGAGCGAGGGTGCCTAAAGTCAGAACTTCGTTGGAATCCCGCCCCTGATCTCAAGCTTTGCGCGCTTCATTCTGCGGATGTGGCTACACGTAAAAGAGCCTCGCTCTACTCAAGGTGGCCCAACCGACCACGGTGAAGAGGTGAGAAGTGCGCTCTTGGTCGACGGGGGTTCATCCCGGTGGCCGCTCGCGTTGAGAGCCTGCGCTAAAATCTCGACGCACGGCATCTGCGAGACCTCGGTTGTAGAGCACACCGTACTCATCGAGTACCCCGGAGTTTAAGAATTTTTCAGGCTCAACTGAGGGCACACTAGACCTGAAAACTTGGCCGTAAGCAAACTCGGCTAAAATCTAGCAAGTGCATGCTGTAAAACCTGATAACGATAGTCGATGTTGGGGTGCCGCAATTGGCGGAGACGTGGCACCCCCGTGTTAGCGTTTTTTCTCCACAACCAGAAGGTACCACTAACTGCCGAAAAGGATGATTTTGGAAACATCTCGTGGAGGGCTTTCCTCAGAGGTATCGGTTGGTGTTCACACCCTCCTAGCTGTGGAGAAATACGCTATGAAAACGCTGACACGGGGGTGTCATCCCTCCGCCAATTACGGTACATGTACAGCAAATAAAGCAATACATGCACAGCAGTACCCCACAGGAAACGGATGTAGTTAGGCCGCTGTTCGCACAACTCAACAACTACGTATTTAGCTGGCTCCCCAGCATAGACAGCAGTCTGGGCGGCGTGTGAACAGATAAGGCGGCTGGATTTAGCGTTCACCAGTCGCACCCGGTATCAGGCGGTGACCGCAGTCGTACGCATTGTATGTTCTGGCTAAACAGCGGTAGACTACGTGTAGTCCTGTGTATCAGACACTTAGGGGCGTAGGTTGATTTGTAGGGTTACTGCAATTGCAATATAAGAAGACTTTCGCAGAGTAAACCGGCATCAGCTTGAGTATGAGAGGCGTGTATGCATACAAATTGCCAATGGCAAACAGCAGTGAGTAGTACAGTTCATGCTCCTTTCATGTGGAGGGTTCTCTTTACGCCTCTGTCCGCCGTGAACAAAACATTCATTATGCGTCGTGCGGTGCGTGAACTGCTGCTGCTGTGGGCTGTGCCTCGATGTTCATGATACTGCGTATGTGCGTCTCCGACGTGCTGTCACGATGCGCTTACCCTTCTCGCTTGCCGCAGCAAGCGAAGACGCTTCAGCGTGGTGAAGTCGACCACCACGCCAATCCAGCGCTTCAGTAGTCGAAGCAAGTTTAGGATGACATGTTTTGGGTGCGCGTGGGTGCGGCTCTCTTTCGCCTCCTTCGCCGCTAGCTCCGCTGCCTTCCGCTTGGCCCATCGTTTCCGCGATCTCCACCACCGCGACTGAGGGTTGCTTTCATCGAATAGTTCTGAGCTTGTGCCCCCTCGTATCAAAAAGAGTGATCTGCTGGTGAGCAACTCGTCTGTTGCGAGCGACAGCGATCGCCTGCTGCCCGTGAGGTGGCGGTTCGGTCTCAACCGTTTCGAGTTCCAGCAGCAGGCCTCTGCTGCTGCTGACGCGTGTTTTCTGCTGCCCACCACGCGAGCACTACATGCGTTTGAAGCAGCGCCGATGATGATCAAGCTTGATATTGCGCCCATGGCGTCCTTGAAACCCATGGCCTGTACTAGCAGCCACCACACACCTCCCTCCTGTTGGCATGCACGTGACACATACCAGGCAGCAGGACCCGCGTGAGTGAACGGAGACGGGGGCACCGTAGCACAATTGGCATCCACATACCCCTCCGATGTACGCCGACACACCTAAGCAAGTGAACCTGGTGCATGCCCGCACTGCGGGCGCTCACCGGCACACGGACAGCACCCAAGCCGTTCCTTGATGAAGACCCTGAAGAAGAAATTCTCCATATACCAATCGAGCCAGAAGGTTAGAGCGGGGTTGGATTACAAGGCCCTGCAAGGCTTCTCTTTGAAAAGTTTGTTGCTGGTAGTCCGGCGTTGCTGTCGAAGCTGACTCTCTTGAGCATCCTTTTGAGCTTTTGAGAAGGCAGCGCCTGTGTGCAGAGCATGCTCTGAGCGTCCCCGTACTGCCGCTGCATGAAGTAGCTCGGTGGGCGCACTCGGAGTGGTGGTTGTTGAGTCCGAAGTGTTCAAGGGGACTAGCAATATGCACAGCAGCACCACTGCTGTGCATGGATATTTCGATTCAGCAGTACAAATGGATATGAGGGGGGGGGGGGGCAGCAGTCGAGGCACATGTGTGTGAAACCACAGAAAAATTTCTTTTATCTCACTGCTGGTGTCACCTCGCGGCTGCGTCGAAGTGCAGCTGCGGGTTTCGTGGCCCGACTCACGGGCTAGCTGAGCTACATAAACTGGCAATGGTGTGACCTGTTGGTGTGTGCAGCCGCAACAACAGGTAATGCCTTGATCAGCTTTGTTTGCGTACACCTATACGTGAGTCCCCAGAGCTGTAACCGACGGTGGTTGGTGTGGTTGGTGGTTCAATCTACCGAGAGCCGTACTGCTGTGTCGAGAGATCGACTTGGCCCCTTACGACTGCCACGAGTCGCCTGAAGGGCAGATATAGCTGTAGTCTAAACAGATTTCGCCCGACCTAGCTGCTTTTCTCTTACAGCAGTCTAGTCCCGACCGATGTCATCTACTCCTTGTCTTGCTGTCTCCTGTGGCGGTGCCGATACCACTCTGCACACAGCAAGGGCGGTTTAGTCACCAAAAGGATTGACTGCTGTCCCCCGGCTATCATAACAAATGTATGTCGCACTGATTGTTCTCTGCTCCGGCCTGCTCCATGCGACACCTTTTGGGCAAAAGCAGGTTCGAAAGCTCTGGTGCGACTACAGCGAGGCCAAGAGTGGCATAGAAAGCCCCTATAGCAGCTCAACTACTAGCGCAGAGAGTCGGGAAGGAGACGACTATGATGCCGGCGCGTCAGCATTCCCTCCCTCTTTGTCCAGCGCTGGCTCGATAGCAGCAGGCCAGGGGCCGGCGCGCGCCCTCCGCGCGTTCGTAGATGCGGTGGATTTGACCGATGCTAGACAAGCTGCTGTTCTCCAAAACCTGGTGAGTCTTGACTCGTGTGTGATCATGACCCAAGATGCCTTGCCAGTGGTAAATGCGTTGCAGGATTTGACAAACTTGATCGGACTCTCTTTATACGAGCATGTCGTAATTAGCCCAGGTCGACTCTTTGCTGTGTTGTTGGGGTCGAGAGGTGGAGGCTAACTGCGGCCCGTATTAGCCGGAGTGGTTGTTTTGGCGGAAGTCAAAGTGCGCTGCTACCTCTGTCTGACCAGCACAAGCTACAACATATACTGTGTGACGTTCGCAAGTCTGATACTTCAGTTTGACAAGTCTGATACTTGCAAACGAAATGTTGTTGTCCTTGTTTTCGTTTTGGTGAGGACGATCGGGATCAACCAAGCATGTGAATCGTCCGTTCGAAGTGACCCTGTCACGACCGTTTCCGATGTCGAATGACTGGAGACAGGCCACGCATACGGTACCGTCGAACTGTGGTTTTCCCGCTGGCCTTTCATCCCCATCTCCATGCTTCTGTGCCTTCTGCAGGACGACGTTGGTCAGGGGGAGCTCGTGTCCACATTGATAGAGCTAGCGAGGGGCTTGGTGGGAGCAGACGATGCGCGTGGGGGGTCAATCCCGCTCGCCGTGACAGCTGGCGATGTGGCTCTCGCGGAGAAGTCCCTAACGGTGGCGCAGACTTGTCTCGCCGGAACAACGTAAGAAGGGAGCACACACCTGCGCTTCCTCGTTGTCGTTGTTGTCGTGCCTTGTAGGATGACGTCAAGGCGTTTCCCGCGAGCCATGTGGTACATGTGCCGTAGCACCCTGCCTGGAGCAGGCTTTTTCGTAGACTCATGTACTGAACCCCCCCCTAGAAGCAGGAATGGGTTTACTGCTGTCGCCTCCAAAGGGGTGAGTGCCCCCACGATGGATTGAAGCCACGTACTACGGTGAACAGGGCACAAGAGCACATAACGCCTCTGTCTGTCTGTCTGTCTGTCTGTCCTCTGTCTCTTTCTCTGATTCTCTGTCTGTCTGGCTGGCTGGCTGGCTGGCTGGCCGGCTGGCTGGCTCTCTCGATGCGCCAGCACCGCAAAACAGCCGACAGAATGGAAGGAGAACCTGAGACATCTGGTGGCGATACTCGCCGCTGAAGAGGGCGCCCCCGACGGCCAGATGCTTGTGCCCTTGGACACGGACATGTGCCGCAGGATGCTAGACGTGAAGGCTGCCGCTCTGGGAGTGTTGAAGCTGGTGGTGACTGACCATGAAAAGGTGGTGGGACTCGGGATCTACGGAGGCTTCCAGGTGTGTTTTCTGTGTGTGTCATGTGTCAGCCTCGTGATGGGATACTCCGAGGTTTGTCCCCATTTTTGTTTCACACAAACATGTTGCTATTTAGTCTTACTTCGAAGTATTATATTTGTAAAGGCATAAAGCGAATCGTGTTGCCCGAGTGCTGGAGGGTACTCTGAGTTTTGTCACCATTGTGTTGCGCACACGTTGCTAGTCTTTCCTTATATTTGTCAGGCGTCAAGCGCATTGCGTTGCCGGGCTGCTGGGCAGGAACGTTCTGCATCGAATCAGAGGCGGCAGACGCCCCTTCGTGCGGAAACTTAACCCTGATTGTGTATGCCTGCCTCCTGCTATGCCTCCACCCGTACCGACCCTCCTATTGCCACGCCAGACCATAGCACACCTGGCTCTCCCGAGGGGCTCGCTGCTGCGGCCTCAGGCGGTGGAACTTCTCGCCTTATTTCTCGCCATGCCCCGGCCCGATCCCGAATCTGCGGCACGTCGAGAGCCAAGGGGGAGAACGGGCCGGTGGGTTGGTCGGTTTGGAGGCGGCGGCGGCGGCGGCGGCGGAGGTGCTAGTCGTAGTCCTCGCTTTAGCGGCGACTGCTGCGGGGAGGGGGAAGACGAGGGCGGGGTGGCGGCCTCGTCGTCTTCTTTCGCAGACGCCGCGAGCTTCGTCTTGAGGTATGTAGGCGGTGCAGGAGTGTCTCTGTGGCCAGAAATGATTCTTTGTAGAGACGGAGGCGGGGAACGATGTTGTCGTCTTGTTTTCAATAGGATTCGCGAAAACCTAGAAAGCCCAGCCCCGTAGATGTGCACGGCCGGATATAGAACGACGTCAAGACACATATGCCAGGGTATATCCGATATGTCGAGTAGCGTCCAAGATCATATCGGGCTATCGTGAGCGCGGTCTCGAGGAAGGGGCTCCGTGTATGATAGTTCGCAACAACGGTACACCGGTTTAGCAGTGTCTCACAGACTAGTTTTCCTCGTCGTCCTGTCCCTCGCCCCCTCCCAGCTCGTTCCAAGCACTCGTTTCGTCCGGGCGAGATGCCAGCGAAACATCCTCATCCGCGACGTTCGGATTTCCATATAGCGGCGCCCAAGGTTTCCCCCCGGGGCAACTGCCGATGGCGGTTGTACCCCAGTCTCTGATGGAAGAGGCCTCGCGAATATCGGCGCTCGAAGCACATCGGACTGCGCTATGGGATGATCCTTGTCCTTCCGTCGCCGACTCTAGTTGCAACTTAGGCGATGCTGGGGAGGGGGTGGGCAGCGGCGATGGTGATGGGCCAGCCAAGCCGCAAAAAGAGCAAGCGGGTGTCGCTGACCCCAGGGATGTCGCGGAGATGATGCTTGCGGGTGGCGTGCTTGCAGTTCTCGCCGATGTCATCGCGCCGTGTCGAGCCGAGGGGGCTTCAGGCGGAGACACTCACGCCACCGAGTCGGGAGCGGAGAGCAGCTTGAACGCGCCCGACAGCGAGAGCTCGCGTCTCGAGGCTCTCGAAGCCGCCGTCGCCATGGTGGAAGGGCGGCCGAACGCGCAGAGGGACTTCGTTCGGCTGGGCGGGCACTCCCGCATCTGTAGCCTGGTCCACGACGTGGCCGAGAGGGGGAAGCAGAGCGCCCTGCACCCGCCGGCTGACTCGGCTGCGGAGAGCAGCAGCCGACGCAGCCATAGCCGGAGCAAGCCTCGCGCGGACACCTCCCCGGGGGGGGAAGGACAGCCTGTGGGAGAGCTGCGGACTCTCGACGCCGCGTTCGACTCGGTGTTTCGGCTCGCGCTCGACGGCCACACCATCGCCCCCGGCGCGCGCGCGGACGGCGTGGACACGGTGAGGTTGCTGCTCGCCCTCGCCGCCCGGTCGTCCTCGCTGGCGGTGGCCCTGCGGGCCGCCCGCAGCCTCCAGGCGCTGCTGCACGTGCGCCCGATGAACGCGGTTTCCCTCGAGCGGCAAGACGCCCTTCAGATAGCCGCGGACGCCGTCGCAAAGCTTGCCTTTTCCGGCGGCGGCGGCGGTGGTGGCCCGTGTTTTGGCGAGGCCAGGGGGGAGGACGCATTGTTCGGCCTCGACGGGGAGGTGGTTGTCGCGGAGCGCCTGGCGTGGTCCGTGGACGACAAGCGGGCGGCGCTGTCCTCGATGAACGACGTGGTTCGCGTGGTGGCGGCGGTGTACAGCCGACGGGACGCTCGAGCGCTGGAACGGTACGCCAGGATACTCCTGGCCTCATCTACGGCTCGGCTTGGTTGCGGTGATACGTCTCTGCACGGAGGCACCGAAACGCAGCGGCGGCGGCGACGCTTGTCGCAAGGGTGCAGAACAGCAGCAGCAGCAGCAGCAGCAGCTGCCCCTGGCAGAAGTCGCGATGCCGGGGCTCCGCTTGCACGGATGGACGGAGAGAGCCATGCCCACGTTGCGGCGAGGACTACGTGCGAGGAACGGAAGAGCGGTGTTCAGGGGACCCCTCCTCCTCCTCCCCCTCCCCGAGTAGACCCGGACTGGGCGGTGGAAGCAGGGAAGGCGTTGATGAAGGCGATGACGGTAATGCTGGACGACCGCGAGTCTTTCGGCCTCCCGCCCACACCGGACAGAAAAGGCGGCTGCGGAGGCGAGCGGCCCGAGGAGGGCGACACCGCTGTCCTGGCCGGCATGCTGCAGATCGTGCAGGATGAGCTGCTGGAGCCGCTGCACCCACGCCCAGGCCCCGACGCCGCTGTCAACGACACCGGGAACGCCGACCGATTGGCGGCGGCGGCGGATCGTCCACATGCGGCTGGAGAATCTTGCCGGTCGGGTTGGACGGAAGGGTGGCTTCTCGGCGCCCTCGAGATCGTGGCCAGGGTGGTGGTGAGGGGCGACAGCGGCACCGTGGAGGCCCTTGGGGCTGCCGGGGGGTGGGGCCTCCTCGCGCACATAGCCCGCATCCCGTCACCCCCGGCACACCTGCGCGAGCGCTCGCCTTCGGCAGCGGCGGAGGGCGACGGCACCAACGTTAGCGGCCATGGCGCGGGAAGCGCACAAGGGGGGGAGGGTGACGGTGAACGTTCGAACGGCCGGCTGCTATCGGAGTCATGGGTCGGATGGGTCGGGGTTCGTCGTTTGGCGCTGTGGATCATTCGGGAGGCCCTGCTGACTGGGACGGCGGGACAGTGCCGCGGCAGCAACGGCAGTGCGGGTGTCACGACCCTCCTCGTGCAGCCGGCGAGGTGGCTTGTATGGCTCGTGCGAGACTTGATGAAGCCGACCCCGCCGCCCTGTGGAGATGATGTTCCCGCGGGAGCTTGCTCAGCAGACCAGGTCAGCCGTCACTCACGAATACCCTTGTGCGACAATGTTGCGTGCGAATCTTGTCACACACGTTCTGTTGTAACACGCATGTCGTTCCTCCTTTTCAACTGGGCTCGTTGTTTGCAGCTCTGCGATTCGTTTCCGATCACTTGTACCATGCGTCGGTAATGGCCCACCTTGCAAGCGGAGCAGATGGAAAAGTTCATATCGCGGATGAGGTCATCAGCATTGATGTTTGTTCTTCCGACGCAACCCCCGTTTTTTTCCGCAGACAAGGGACCAGGTCCTCATGAGGCTAGCCATCTTGAACGAGCTACGCCTGGCGATCGGGTCTTTCGGACCGTGCGAGGTGGTGATGGAAGGTTGCACAAGAGTCCTCCCGCTCGTAGCTCTCCGGGCCGCGCAACCGAAGGCACCGGTGGCAGGAGGGGTTGGCACGGGAGGTGATGATGAGGAGGTCGGGGGCAGGACAGGCGTGTCGCCGAACAGACATCCTCAGGCGCGCATGGGAGCGGTCAACGTCAAGGTAAGGAGAAAGCGAAGTGTGGAGACGGTTGACGCGAAAGAAACGACGAGGGCTGTTCTTGAAGGACTCGCGCGCTCGTGTGTGTCCGGACAAAAATTATTGAAACTGTATTTAGTTTTTGCCGGATACGTTCGCGGTTTGCTGCTGCAAGACACAAGACACGTACGTTGGCATGCGCCGGTTCGGTTTCTGCGTTCCTTCGCCTGATAAGAACCTCAGTCCCCCTAAGTCGAACACGGGCACACGAGGTCTTGTTGCCGTGTTTCGACGCACCGGGTGGGGTGGTATGCGGGGTTCCCAACCCGCACAACCGACTGACTGCTGTGATCTGCCGCCGACCCTCCTGGTACTTGTCCGCAGGTGGTTGGCCGGCTGGCTGGAGACCAGCGCGGGGTCGTCTTAGACTCCCTTGTGTCGGAGGGTGTGATGGAGGTTCTGCTGGCCATCGTCCAGGAGAACGTATCCTCCTTTTCACCGGGGTCGCGAACGGCCGAGTCGGGCTTGGCCCTGCTGCTCCTCGCCGACCTGGCCGCGGGAAGTGAAGCGGCGAAGGTAAAGCGTGCCGTAGGCACGAGGCAGCATGGGTGGTACGTAGTAGCGGGTACCTCCCCCTTTCTCGGGCAGCTTTCGCGTCGTGTGTGGGGATCGTTCTTGGTGGCACTTGATACTGTAGGATGGCGGTGCCAACACAGCAGCCCTGCCCATCGATTCATACACGAAGTTTTGGCGTGAGACGCTCTCTCCCGCGCAAAAACCCAGCGCATGTCCCACCATGTGTTCCATTCCCCTTGTCCGTTCCCAGGTGCGCCTAGGTTCAACCCTAGGCTACGACACCCTCGCCAAGGCTGCTCACGGCGCTGGCGTGGCGATTCAAGCGCACCAGTTTTCTCTCTGGCTGGAGGCGTCTTTGCGGCGGTTGGGCGGGGTCACGTCACGACTTCCTCCGCCGTTCGAGTGCGTTGTAACAAACCCGGATGATGCCTTGGCTTCATCCGACGTATCGCCGACCCTGAAAGTCGCCCGGTTTGGAGTCAGACAAGGGAGCAGCACAGGGCAACAAGCCAGTGGTGCGGAAGGGAAGGCGTGGTTGGGTGAGGAGAGCGGCCAGCGCGGGCGGGGAGAGTCCAGGGATTCCGGGAGACGGCGGGGATGGAGGCGGCGTAGTCCCAGGAGGCGAGGGGGGTCGAAAGACGGGATCGCGTGGATGCCTCGCTCCCTGCCCAGGCTGGCTCACTCTGTAGTGGGCAGCAGAGCGGAGAGTAGCGCGGAGGGGGTGTCTGAGGCGCACCACATGTTCGACGAGCTCTGGCTTCCTCCAGGACTCGTCACGCTAGCGCAAGACGTCCTCCTCATCAACAGGGCGCGCAGCGGGGTCGTGGTGCGAGAGGAGGAGCGGTACTTCATCGCCCAGCCCAGGGGCGCGCGAACCGGCGGAAGCGGAAGCGTCGCCTCGTCGGACCTGGGACACCCGCTGTGGAAGCCGGCGGTGACGAAGTTTCGCGGGCTCGAGGCCGCCGTGTTTCCGTTCCTGCTCTTGCCGCTGGTCCCCTCCGAGCACCAGCCCCAGGCCGCGGCACAGCTGTCCCGCCTCCTCGACGCGAACCCGGCCAACGCGGCGGCGCTGTGCCATCTGCGGGTGCCCCTCGCGCTTATCAAGCTGGGGTGCCGGCTCCCCGAGCGGAAAAAGCAGGCGCGGGACCTGTACTTTCACCTGTCGGCCCAGCTCATGTCCCACCACATCTCCCCGGCGGACGCTCTGGAGCTGTTCCACCTGGCCAGCCTTCAGCCGTCGGCGTGGGCGCGCCTAGGACGGCTTAGAGTCACGTCCGGCGCGGACTTTATCTCGGCGCGGCACGCGGTGGGGGGGGGGGGGCTGGCGGCGGCAGAGGACGGGGCCCCCGAAATTGTGGACGAGGTTCGCGTGGAGCACGGGGTGGTCATGCCTCCCCACGCGGGCGAGCTCCAGATGCAGCTCCTGTACGTGATCGGCACGGTCGTCGACTCGCCCGCCCCGGCGTGGTTCTTCCACATGGACGGGGGGGGCGGGAGCGGCCTGGTCTCGGAGCCGCTTGTCCGCTTCCCGCCGAAGAGGGTGGGGTACTCCCTGTCGATGTGGCTGCGGCCGTCCGGCTTTTCGGGTGGGGAAACCGCGCTGCTGTCCGTCTGCGGACGAAAAAACGACGGCGCGTCGAGGACGTTGCTTCGCATGTCTCTGCGGAGGTGCCTGGGCCCCAGGGATAGCGCGGCGCCTCCGGCGGCGGCGGCGACGGCGGTTGCGGCGGCCGGGATCGGGGCTAGCTTGGACGACGACGGCGACCAAGGGGCGGCTTCGGATGACGCTTGCGCGAAGCTGCAGGTGCACGCAAGCGTGGAGCAAGCCTGCTCGGGTCAGCAGCCGAGCGGGCCGTCTTCTTCTTCGGGCCAAGCGATGGACGGCGGTGGCGGCGGCGGCGCTGCTACTGCGGTTGCGTCGGCTCTCGTGGCCGACCCTGACGTGCGCTGTGGCCGCTGGCAGTACCTCGTCCTCACGCACTCGAACTCGTCTGATGCGGCCGGAGGAGGCGGCGGCGGCGGCAGCAGAGACCAGTGGATGGACGGCAGCATCACCGTCTACGTGGACGGGGAGAGGCGCACGCTCGTGACAGAGAGCGCCGCCGCCGCCACCGCGGGGGGGAGCGGCAAGAGCAGCAGGCGCACCGAGAAGCCGGCGGCGGATCACGCCCCCCCACCCGCGTACCCCGCCGGCGCCGGAGGCGGCTCGGGGTCCGTGTCCGTGAGCGTGGGCTGCTGGGAAGAGCCTCCCGGCGGTGGTTGCCAGCAGGAGTCGTCGACGGCATCACCGCCCGCGCTAGATGCCGCCGGGCTGGTGAACGCCGCTCACGCCGCGGCGCGCTTCAGCGGACAGATCGCCACCGTTGCGCTCGTGGAGGGCGCGTGGAGCCCGGAAACGGCGAAGGCGTCCTTCCTCCGGGGACCGGGGGCCCCGCCGCCGGGAAAGCGCATCGTCTTCGCCAGCCCGGGCAGCCTTCCCCCGACGCCTTTCCTCGATCCGGTAGAAGCGGCGTCTTCGGCTCCCGTGGTGGGTGAGGGCAGCAGCGGCAGCGGTCTTGACACGAAGTTGATCGAACAACAGCCGGCCGTAGGAGGTGACGCTCCTGAGTTAGGAGAGAGCGAGGTCGCCGAAGGCTACAGCAGTAGTGATCAGGCGGCAGCAGCCATCCGGCGGGAGTCAAGTGCCTGCACCGCTCCGTTCTCCGGCGTGCCTCCGAAGACGGGGGCCCCACCAAGAGACCCAACACCGCCTGCGGGTGGTCAAACCCCACCGTTCCTAGCCGGAGACCCGCCGGGGATGATGTTACCGCTGCTTTCGGATACGGCGGTGCCCCCACCGCGGCTGTCCGTGAACCTCGCACCCGTCCGCAAGGCCATCGACGTGAAGTATGGCGTCGCCCCGCCGGGCGAACCGCCCGCAGCGGGAGGGACGGTATTCACTACCGAAGCGGTGGCAGAGCGTAGGGCCACTGGCGAAAGGACCGGAGGGGCTTGTTCGGTGGGCAGGGAGGCCGCGGTGGGGGGCGCGGTTCCGTTGTCGGATTCGGTTGCGTTGACGGTGAACAGCCTCGCGGTGGCGGCGGGCTGCGGGGGCAAGGATAAGGACTCGGCGTGCGACGGTCGGGTTTCGTTCAGGCTTGCCGCGGGAGGCGGGACAGGCGTGTACGCGACGACTCCCTTGCATGCCGCGGTACAGGCGGCGGGAGGCTTCCGGCTGTGCCTCCCCTTTCTTCGGATGGACCACGCTCGCCAGGTGATGTATAGCTTGTTTTTTTATACATCGCGGAACGTGGTAGATGATAGCCCGGGGGTAGCCCCGCGCTCGTCTCAAAGTCTATTTTTGGCTTGGTTTTGATGAAAAAATAGCCATGCCTGACCACGGTGTTTTTTCGTACATGGTGGTGACGTGTCTTTTAGTGCACATGTGCCAGTGTTTTGGTGGCCACGCGCATCGGTCGTGCCTTTTTGCTGACGATTGTTTTGGCTGATCTTGCTTTGCAGGTGGCGGCGCTGAGAGTTCTGGCGGGCTTGCTGGAGGCGTCGGCTGAGGGGATGGACGCCTTTCGGGTCCGTGACGGTTTCAACGTGCTTTACCACGCGCTTGCTCAAGGATACGACGCCCTGTTACAGGTAAGACGCGAACGAAGAGCCTGTCAGGGTAAGCCCTATCAGGCCGTCAGAAAACGTGTCTGTCACAGATGTTGTTGTTGTTGTTGTTGTCTTCGCATCAAAAACCGTTCCGGTCTCTCTACCCAGTACCTTGTTCTGTAGTCTAGCACTTGACGCGGTCGATTCCCGTGGTCACAGGCTAACTTACCGAAAAAAGGTATACGAAAATAAAATGGACCCGAAGGGTCCGCAAGTCAATTGAAATCAACGACAGATAGTCTAGGACACTCCGCTCGCCCCTGCACGCTATGATGGCCGCGTTTAAATCCTACAGTATGTGCGTGTATCATGATCCCACGGCGGTGCTACGCCGACTAAATATTACCTCTGACGGCAACACCGCTCTCTCCTGTCGCCGTGCAGCTGTCGATGGACACCTTCGAGACGCTGTTCGAGCTCATGACGAGCGAGGCGCTCCAGGGGGCCCTGGACGTGTCCGCCTCCAACCTCTCTCCCGTAGCCCTGCTCGACGCTGCGGGGAGAACGGCCGACGACGCGAGGGCGACCTACCTGGCCAACGGCTGCACCGGCGCGAAGCCTGTCCGGTCGCCGGAGTCGCTGCGGCTCGTTGTCGACCTACTGGGCCACTGCGAGCGCAAACCCGACCTGCAGGCGAGGGTGATGGAGGCGCTCGTGGACGCGCTCGATGGCAGCTTTGCGGGGATACAGGTGTGTGCGAAGCGCCTACGTCCCGAGCCCCGATCCCTGTTTTTTTTTTCCTCTCATCGTTGTGTTGTGGCGAACATGTTGTGGGGTTTTCGCACACTAGGTTCGTCGCGGCACGTGTTTCACGTGTTTCTTGCAATCCATTGCCGCTGTGTCACCGTGGGGGGGGGGGGTTGGGGGGTTGGTAACGACTCCAGGACAACGTACCGGTAGTTGGTGCGCTTGTCCAGGGTTCCCCTCGAGGGCGCACCTCGCAAGACGAGTACAATACAGTCGGCTACGGTTTCAAGAGAGGGTTCGGACAAGTCAACAACACTCTCTTAGTCCGGTTTTCTCTCAACCACGTACAGTGTTTCTCATGGGTCGGGACAAGCAATCAACACTCTGTTATGTCCGATAGCTACTCTCTAAGTATTCTTCGTAACCCGTAGCCGCTGTAAAGCATGCGGTACATTATCTGGAGATCTCCGAAGACTAGACTCGAACAACAAGCGTTTCGTCGAACCCGACAGTCTCGCAATGGTCGCGCACAGCGCAGCACGCCCTAACAATGCCCCCCCTCTCCTTCTCTCCCTCTCTCCGCGACAGGTCTGGAGAAGGGCGTTCAACGAATCAACGGCGTTCGCGCCGCTGCTGTACCTCCTGTCCCCGCCCGCGTTCGCCGCTTCCGACGCGGCCTCTGCCCCACGCCCGACCCTCGATGCCGCGCTGGGTGGCAACGCCGCCGCCGCCGGCCTGGCGGTGTCAAGGCGGTCGGCATCGTTTTCCATGCCATCGTCGGGGCCGGTGGGGATCGCAACGGTAGCCCGCGAGGATCACAGCGGCGGAGGCGGCGGCGGCTTCAAGTTGAAGAGTGTGTTCACCGGAGAGAGGCCGGCGGTGGCGGCGGGGTCGGCCGCGCGGACGCAGGCGGCGCGCATGGTGCAGGTTCTCATCGCGGGATCGGCGGCGGTGGCGCCCGTTGTGCGACCACAGGTAAGTTGATCTTGTCCAGTAACGGTGGAATTGATGCACGTGTGGAAACGAGAGAGGTGCCACAAGGGTACTAAGCTTGGTTTTAGCCAGGGTTACCGTCAGGGTTGCGAACCCTCCCTCTCTATTCAGCACAACGTCCTCGGGAAGGCATTCCATCCTTGGCAACCCCCCCCCCCCCCCCACTACTCCATCACACCTCCACTCAACAAACATTATTCCCCCAATGTCCTTAATTTCTAGCACTC